GAGAGAGAGAGAGAGAGAGAGAGAGGGAGAGGGAGAGGGAGAGGGAGAGGGAGATGGAGAGATGGAGTTTCTACTCCTGGTTCTGCCATTTACTAGCTATGTCGCTTTAAGTAGGTCGCTTAATTTCTCTGACCCTCACTTCTCAAATTTTAAAAAGCATAGTTATTTTGGGTTTGCCTAGAAGACCCTGTGGCAAGAATTTGAGTGCAAGTAGTTTATGTGGCAGGAGCCCTGGTGGCACAATGGTTAGGTGCTCAGCTGTAAACCAAAAGGTCCTCAGTTGGTGGAACCCACGGGAGAAAAACCTACTCAGATAAAGATGACAGCCTAGAAACCCTACAGGGCAGTCCTACTTTGTCCTAAAGGGTCATTATGAGTGGGAATTGACTTGGTACACAACAACAGTTTATTTGGGAGTTGATCCCTGGAAATATCAGAAGGGAACTGGGAGTGATACAGGGAAGGGAAGGAAGCCAGTGAAAGGTATTTCATCAAGCTAGTTACCACTGTAACTAACAACAAGTTAGCACCTGTCATGGATTGAGTTGTGTCCCCCAAAAATATCTGTCAGCTTGGCTGGGTCATGATTCCCAGTGTTGTATGATTGTGTAATCTGACGTGATTTCCGTATGTGTTGTAAACTCTATCACTATGATGAGGTTATATGTGATCTCTTTATGTGTTGTAAATTCTATCACTGTGATGAGGTTATACTGATGAAGTCGACAAGATTAGATAGTGTCTTAATGCAATCTCTTTTGAGATATAAAAGAGAGAAGCGAGCAGAGACACATAGGAGCCTCATACCATCAAGAAAGCAGTGCCAGGAGCAGAGCGTGTCCTTTGGACCTGAGGTTCCTGTGCAGAGAAGCTCCCAGACCAAAGGAAGATCGATGACACAGACCTTCCTCAAGAGCTGACAGAGAAAGCGTTCCCCTGGAGCTGATGCCCTGAATTTGGACTTGTAGCCTACTGGACTGTGAGAGAATAAACTTCTCTTTGCTAAATCCATCCACTTGTGGTATCTCTGTTAGAGCAGCACTAGATGACCAAGACAGCACCTAACAACAACAAGTTACCACTGTGGGCAACGGGAGCTTAAAACCTCTGGGGAACTGAGGGAACTGCGGAATCTATGCCTCAGAGCTGTCTCACCCAAGGGCTGAGGGAGCTGGCGTACTTATGCATCAACTCCTGTCAGTGTAACAAACACCACGAGGACTCTGTTGTTGTTAGGTGTCATTGACTCAGTTCTGACTCAAGGTGACCCCTCAGACAACAGAACAAAACACTGCCCGGTCCTGCGCCATCTCCACAATCATTGTTATGCTTGAGCCCATTGTTGCAGCCACTGTGTCAGTCCATCTTGTTGAGGGTCTTCCTTTCTTTCGCTGGCCCTCTACTTTACCAAGCATGCTGTCCTTCTCCAGGGACTGGTCCCTCCTGACAACGTGTCCAAAGTACATGAGACTAAGTCACGACATCTTCGCTTCTAAGGAGCATTCTGGCTGTACTTCCAAGACAGATTTGTTCATTCTTCTGGCAGTCCATGGTATATTCAATATTCTTCGCCAACACCATAATTCAAAAGCATCAATTCTTCTTCGGTCTTCCTTATTCATTACTCTGCTCTTGCATGCATACGAGGCAATTGAAAATACCATGACTTGAGACAAGTGCACCTTAGTCCTCAAAGTGGCATCTTTGCTTTTTAACACTTTACCAAAACAAAATCCGTTGCTGTCGAGTTGATTTCGACTCATAGTGACCCTATAGGATAGAGTAGAACTGCCCCCTACGGTTTCCAAGGAGTGTCTGTGGATTTGAACTGCTCACCTTTTGGTTAGCAGCCAAGCTCTTAACCACTGCGGTTTGGGGGCTGTTAATTCCCCAGCACTTTTGGCCTGTTGAGTTCCATGCAGGTAGCCTCAGGCAAAGAGATATAGGTGCTGGTGTTACCGCAATAACGTAGATTAGAGCCGCCTGCCGCAATAGCCAATTCTGAGACAGGGGGGAGGTGAGCAGCAAGAGTTTTATTATATATCGATATATAGGAGACAGAGGGGAATAGATTCCTCCAAAAACCCATCTCCCCAAAGGGAGACTTGTCGAAGGCTTTATAGGGACAGGATTATGGGTCTTAGAAGTTTGTGTTAGTTTCTTCTTGAGGTGGTCACGTCTCAGATGAGTTAATCTTTTACTGGCATTTTTACTGGGGTTATCTGGCGACATTCTGGTTTTCTTGTCACAAGACGGGTGCTTTGTTTGGTTTTTCATTCCTAGATCATTATCACTTGTTTTCCACCCTCCAAGGAGGAACGTCGGTTAATCTTAAACTTTTTATAGAGACTAGAACGGGAGGGAGAGAAAAGATCGTGAGACAATGTGGGGGTTTAGCAACGGGGAGTAATAATAGTGAGCCAGACCTATGCAGCCTCTTTCGTTGGCAGAGGAAAATTAAGCAGGTTTGCACTGAAAATAGTAACAGCTGAGGGGATATGGATAGGGCACTGACAGGATAATTGTTTTCTTAAGGTTGTTGGGTGATTAAATGAGATGGTATATAACAAAAGGACTCCCTGGGTAGTGCAAATGGTAAACATGCTTGGATGCTTACCAAAAAGTTGGAGGTGTCAAGTCCACCTGAGGCCCATTGGAAGAAAGGCTTGGCGATCTGCTTCTGAAAAATCAGCCATCGAAAACTCTGTGGAGCACAGTTCTGCTCTGACACACATGAGGTCACCATGAGTCGGAATCCACTGGAAGGCAAGTGGTTTTATACGAAAACAACACACTCCTTTTGCTCCCCCTTTTGCCCTGACGCGCTCACAGGAGGATTCAAGGGAGGCTGTCAGGGCTTCGGGAGCCTCCAACATCCCCATACCACCATCGTGAGCTTCATAAGAGGCAGTCTGAAGAAAGGGCACTAATGGCACTGGATTACCACTGCCTTCAAAGGACTTCTTGGCTGATTCTGCCAAGTTCTACCCACATGTCTACCAACTTGTCACCCCATAGGAGTTGAAACCTCAGAGGTGTGGGGTGCGAGGTGCCTCATCCCTGACTCTTATCTACATCAGGCTAGCTACATCCCCTAATCTTATTCAAGCTCCCATGCCCATCAGCCTCTCCTCCCTCCATTGGCCACTCTGGAACTCATGGTCTGGTGGTGGTAGAATAGTCCAAAAGTGGCTACCAACCCATGTTATGATGTTGCACTCACAAGTATGTAGTCATCTGATAGTTAGCTACGCATCTTTGGAGGTTTTTGAGCAGAGCGACATAATTCAATCTTTGGGTGTATTTTGGTGTGCAGGAGTGGCTGGAAAAAGGGAAAGAATGAAAAACAATGCGTGTGTGTATGGAATTATTACAACTATCTATGTACTTTGAGGCATGCAAGATAGGAGGGCCTGACGTGCAGTGAAGTGCCAAAACCAAAAACAAAACCATTGCTATAGACTTGATTCTCATTCATGACATCCCATGTGTTAGAATAGAAGTAAGCTCCATGGGGTTTTCTTGGTTGGAAGGAGGATGGTGGGCAATGGTTAAGCACTTGGCTGCTAACTGAAAGGTTGGGGGTTTGAACCCACACAGCCTCTCCTCAGGAGAAAAACCTGGTGATCTGCTCCTATAAAGATTACAACCTAGAAAACCCTTTGGGGCAGTTCTACTCTGTCACATGGGGTTGCTATGAGTTGAAATCTACTGGAGGCCACCCAACAACAATCTTGACAGAAGATCACTAGGCCTTTCTTCCGCCGTGCTGCTGGGTGAGTTGAACAGCCAAGCTTTCAGCTGTAGCAAAGTGCACACCCTTGGGCCACCCAGGGATCTCCGAAATCAAAAACCAAACCCTTTACCGTCGAGTCGATTCCAACTCAGCAACCCTATGGGGCAGAGTAGAACTGCCCCATTGAGTTTCCAAGGAGCAGCTGGTGGATTTGAACTACCAACCTTTTGGTTAGCAGCCAAGCTCTTAACCACTACGCCACTAGGGCTACAGTGAATGTAAATAAAGGAACCGTGTGAAGGGGCAAAGCGTAGTGTCTCATAATAAAAACAAGCAGTGGCCTGGTGTTGGAAGGGTCGTGTCCCATCACAGGCTGCGACTGACAGCTTTGCACGTTCCTCGAGTCTTTTTCCATGTGTACGACGGGGGTGGCACTGCCACGCAGGTCAAAGCGGGGACAGAGAGGACCGCGCCTGCAGCGCGCTCAGCTCCGCGCCTGCAACGGGGTTAGCGCGCCAGCCCTTACCTACCAGAAAAAGGCGGGGAAGTGATACGAGTCTCACCCTGGGGTTGCAGCAGCAGAGATACTCAGTATCCGGCACGCGGGAGGCGCGCACCTCCCGGCCTGGGAGACCCCGCGCGATCAGCTCGCCTTGGCTCGGAACGACCTTCCCGCACTCCCTCCAGCCTCGAGCTGTTGCCGGGGCCCGAGCCCCACCCAGCTCCAGCGCGGACCAATGGCAGCGCGGCGTGGGCCCCGCCCCGCTCCTGCGCTGACCAATAGCAGCACGGCACCAGCCCAACCCTGCTCCCGCAGGGGCCAATGGCGGCGAGGCCCGGTCCGGCGGGTAGGAGGGGAGCGGCCGCCGTCCCGCCCCACTCCCCTCTGACCCGGTGTCTCGTCGCTCCGTCTTCCTGTTCCAAACCACGTGGACGCGCCGGGGGCCGCGGGTGCGGGAGGGAACCCCGGCCACTGTCGCTGCTGCCGCCGCAGCCGCCACTGCTGCCGCCGCAGCCACCCCGCGCCCCCCCGCCCACTGATCTGTCGCGTCCGGCCCGCAGCCATACGGGGCGCGCACATGGCTACTTCGACGCACTCCCTGGGCTACGCGGGCTGCAACTTCTTGCGCCAGCGGCTGGTCCTGGCCACGCTGAGCGGGCGTCCCGTCAAGATTCGCAAGATTCGGGCCAGGGACGACAACCCGGGCCTCCGAGGTAAATGGGGCGGGCGTGGAGCCGGGGACGAAGAGCGTGTTCTGGCAGCCGAGGGGGTGGGGCGCGTGCCCTGGGCACTCTGGGTTCCTCGGGGTCCCTCAGGGTGCCTCCGGGGGTGGGAGGTGCGTCGCCTCCACACCCGTATGCGCCCGCGGCGACTGGGACGCGGGTTGGGCCCCAGGGGACCGCCCCGCCGCGCGCCGCGTCTCCAGGCGCTGGTAGTAAACAACTGCACGTTTTCCAGCATTTCGTGTTGCAACACTCCCCGGCGTCGCCCCCTCGCTCCCTTCCGGTCCCTCAAGCTCTCACCATAAACTTCTCAGAGGAGAAAAACAGTTTCTTGGCCCGAACTGTGGTGAATGGGCCGATATAAAGATGGAGAGAGACTTGGAGAGATAAGTCCACCTGGTTGGTTCCCTGCCCTGTCCCCAGACAGGTCTTAGAAGCAGCTGCCCCAGGAAACTGGCTGTCCCTGTCGCCACGATTTCTCGGCTCCCCCCACACCCCTCCTGCGTTGGTTTTCAGCTGTGTCTGTGATTGATGTACCCGGGACAGGAGCTTTGAGAGAGATTTTCACAGTCGTGGGCCTGGTTGCCTTGACTTTAGAAAAGGGTTGGTGACAAGCACTAAACTGCAGGTCTCGAAGCCCACTTTTTGCCCTAGGAAGGCAGATAGGTTAAAATAGGCCTCGTGGAAAGCCTCATCGTGTTGGATGGTGCTCGTTTTCAGCTGTTCCCTGGGAGTAAGACACATCAGTTTAAAAGCTTCTGTCTGGTTATTCCAAATTGGGAGACTCAGTTAAAGAAAAAAAAGCTGTCTGCAAATTGAAGGAAAGGGTTTGTGGCGGTTCTTGCAGCTTGCTGGGTCCTGTTGATGTGTTTCATTTTGCACTGGCTCCTGTATTAGGTGGCCAGCCCATTTCATCATTGGTCTGGATGCATTTTCCGGACAGTTCCATCTCTGCCACTCTTGGATGGTGACTGGTTGAACATAATGCCATGTCATTGATGGAGATACAAAATTAGGAAGGAAAGAACCAGAAGACCCCACATTCTGTGGTCAGGAGCCCGGGAACAGTAGGAAAGGCTTGTGTTGGTACATGGCTCCTGTCCTCTCTCCGCTGCTCAAAAACTCTGAGGACGTTAGGGGGGCACGATGGACGTTTTGGGCCCGCTGCTGTTCTCAGCATCTGTTGCTCTTGTTTTGAGTCTGACTATTGGGCAAAGCAATTGGTAGGTCTCTCTGTGGCATTCTCAGCCAACTCCCCCTCACCTCCAGATTAGCCCAGAGAACTTGCCGCTAGCTGGATATGATATGGTAAGAAGACAGGCTTTTCTTTTTGAGAACCCTGGGCATAGCTTTTTTTGTTAGACAAGTAAAAGTACTTTAGCTTGGAGAGCTCGGATTTCTAACAAACATAATGCTCATGAGATACTACTACTACTACTACCCGTTGCCATCGAGCCAATTTCTACTCATGGCAACCACACGTCTTGCAGAGTAGAACTGAGCTCTGTTGGGTTTTACTGGCTGTAATCTTTACAGAAGCAGATTGCCAGACCTTTCTTCCACAGCACCACTGGGTGGATTTGAACCACCAACCTTTCAGTTAATTGGCAGTGCAAACCGTTTGTGTCACCTAGGGACCAACACATAAGATACTCTGTGTTTATCTCTCGACAGATGGCTTCTAAGTATTTACTGTCCCAAAGGATGTTCTCCTCTCCGCCTTCCACCACTAGTGAGCATCCCCTCACCATCACATGAGCTCCCATCTATCTGAAGAACAGGGTTTGGCCACTGTTCCCAAAAGGGTGCCAGACTCTGGTACCTGGGGGAGGTAGTCCTGGCCGGCATATGTGCTGGTATTTTATGGGGAATGCTAGTATAGAGAATTCTTTGCCTGACCTTGTTAGTATGAAAACAAAAAACCAAACTCATTGCCGTAGAGTCAATTCCGACACATAGTGACCCTGTAGGACAGAGTAGAACTGCTCCATAGGGTTTCCAAGGAGTGCCTGGTGGATTTGAACTGCCAACCTTTTGGTTAGCAGCTGTAGCTCTTAACCACTAAGCCACCAGGGTTTCCTCTCGTTAGTATACCAGACAAAAAAGAGATCTCAAATTTAGACCTCCTTATGCTGGCTCCAAGGAGCCCTGGTGGAGCAGTGGTTAAGTGCTTGGCTGCTAACCGAAAGGTCGGCAGTTTGAACGCACCAGCTGCTCTGTAGGAGAAGGATGTGGCAGTCTACTTCTTTAAAGATTGCAGCCTTGGAAGCCCTATGGGGCAGTTCTCCTCTGTCCTGTGGGGTCACTACAAGTCGGAATTGACTTGATGGCAACAGGTTTTTTTTTTTTTTTTTTGGTACATTGGCTCCCAGACCTCAGAAACTTGTCAATGTTTGCCTGCTTAATTTCCTATAGAGGGAACGGAGATATACGTATATAGATGCGTTCATAGTGGTTCAGTGGTAGAATTCTCACCTTCCACGCTGGAAACCCAGGTTCGATTCCTGGCCAGTGCACCTCATGTGCAACCTTGTGTGTTGCTGTGATGTTGAAAAGGTTTCAGCAGAGCTTCCAGACTCAGACAGACTAGGAAAAAAGGCCTGGCGATCCACTTCGGAAAACCAGCCACTGAAAACACTGTGGATCACAATGGTCCAGTCTACAACTGATGATGGAGGTGGTGCAGGACCAGGCAGCATTTTGTTCTGTTGTGCATGGGGTCATCCTGAGTCAGGCAGCTAATGATGACAATAAATGCATTCATAGATGTATACGTATACATACACATGTACATACATAAATCCAGGTAGTCTCTGACATGGGATTTGTTATAGTCAAGCGAGTCCTTGGTAGCTTAATTTAAGATGTAGGCAGTCAACAGTATTGCCGATCATCTATCCTCTTCCTCTTCCTGACGCAAATTCTGAGAGTTGGAAGGAACTCAGAGCATATCCGATAAAGTCTTCAGCTCAGATGCATGAATACCATCTCCTGAAGGTCCTTGCTTTACAGCCCTCGTGGTATGGGCTTTGGAGGGTAGGGATGGGGAAGGCATCTTCTGCTTCAGGAGCAGTTAGTCATTCAGAAAAGGCTTATGGAGCCCCAGTTATGTGCAAGGCCTTGAGGGGTGTCAGTGAGAAGTGCATTGCCCCCACTCTGTAGCTGCTTGCATCGAAGCTGGAAGAGCCTGGGTGAGTAGCTTGAACAACTTCAGGTAGGAAGAGCTGAGTGTTGTACAGGGGCTTGGGGGGATTCAGAGTAGAGACCTCCCTGAAGGTTATGAAGCAGGGCTTTCTGGATTTACCTTGGATATTGACATATAGGATTGAGATGTGACTGCAAGAATTTTTGTTGGTGAAACAGTTAAGTCAAAAATTGCTCTATTTCCTTTATTACGTTGAGGTAAAATCCTTCATTTGTCATGGTTCTAGTAGCTTAGTGGTTAAGAGCTTGGGCTGCTAGTTAGATCTGCATTTCAGTTCTAGTTCTGCTTTTTGCCATTAATTCTTGGCCCTTGGGCAAATCCTTTAACATTTCTGAGCCTCAGTTCTCATCTGTAACATGGGGCCAGTACTCCTTGCCTCATAGGGTTCTTGTGAGGGTTCAATGAAGTAATACTTGAAAGTGCTCTGAACAGTGGCTGGCAGGTAGGAAGAATAAATGTTAAATGTTTTTATTATTGTGTAGATTCTATCTACTGTTTGTAATTCTACTTTCTAGTGCCCCAAATCTGTTCTTGCTTCTTCTTTGCAGAAACCCTTCAAATGTTTGAAGAGAATTATTCCCTTCTCCTTGTCTTCCCTTTTCAATCTAAGGGTTTCCTCTTAGGTAATGGTTTACAAACGTTTGTGTGTTTATATAATGCAGAGCCCCTGGGTGGTGGAAATGGTGAACTCACTCGGCTGTTAACTGAAAGGCTGGAAGTTTGAGTCCACCCAGAGGTGCCTCAAAAGAAAGGACTGGCAATCTACTTCTGAAAAATCAGCTATTGAAAACCCACTGAAGTACTGTTCTGCTTTGACACACGTTGGGTTGTCATGAGTCAGAGTCGACTTGATGGCAACTTTTTTTTTGTTTTTTAAACGTATGTTGCAGTGGTTCTCAACCAGGGGCGGTTTTGCTTCCCAGGGGACACTTGGCAATGTTGGGAGACATTTTTGGTTGTCACATCTGGCATCTAGGGGGTAGAGGCCAGGGATGCTACCAAATACCCTGCAATGCACAGGACAACCCTCCACAATGGAGAATTGTTTGACCCAAAGTGTCAGTCGTTCTGAGATGGAGAAACCCGGGTCGAAGGGACTGAATTACCAAGCCTTTTCTTTTCCCAAAACTCTCATGAGAATAGTGACACGTGGTACCAAGAAAACTTACCTCAGAAGGAGTAAGTCGCAGGTCAGACTCTGACTACAGGCAAATCACTGTATCTCTTAAATAAAGCTTCCTGTTCTGAGACAGAGGGATTTTAAATGAGAAGAATTTGAACCCCAAAGAAAGAGAATCTGTTCCCTGGAACGGTTTTTATAATGATACAACTAAATGTCTAACATATGCTTCAGTCTTGAGGAACATGAATGATTATGTTGTCTTATTATACGCTTCCCTTCAATGAGGAGGAAGTAAATATTTTTTGTTGCTGTTTTGTTGTTAGTTGCCATTGAGTTGGCACCTCCTCATGGTGAACCCATGTACGACAGAATGAAGCGTTGCCTGGTCCTGCGTCATCCCGATTTTTGGTATGCTCAAGGCCACTGTTACAGCTGCTATATTTTGAGTGTCTTCCAACCCAGAGGGCTCATCTTCCCGCACTATATCAGACAATACTCTGTTGGAACATGGGGTTTGTTTTCCTTGGCTGATTTTGGAAGTAGATTGCTGGGCCTTTCTTCCTAGTCTGTCTTAGTCTAGAAGCTCTGCTGAAACCTGTCCACCATGGGTGACCCTGCTGGTATTTGAAATACCGGTGGCCTAGCTTCCAGCATCCCAGCAAC